CTAATTGGAAAATAAAATAAACTAAAAGTGAACAAACTAAAATAATTAAACAGAAGTTTTATTAAATTAGAGGATCTTAATAACAATATAAACTAAACACAAGGCAAATAAAGAAAAAAAGAAGACATAAAGATAAGGGTTGTTTTCCTTTAATGAAAGAAAGTGTGTGTGTGTGTGTGTTACAAGAACCACGATCTGCCTAACTAAACCAAGCCACTTGCGGATTCCAACAGCTCCTTACCGGGATAGTACCAGGCAGAGACAGGAACAGGTAACCCGTGGAATAAACATTGGTCCTTCTCCCGTGAAATAATACAAAGGTGCGTAATATATTTTTTTATTTAAAAAAATTGTGGTTCATAATTTGTGTCTCAAAAGTGTGGTTAGATAACCTTTAATTTTACAACTATAACTTATAATATAGTGCCATTTTTTTCTACGCTTCGTGTTTTTTATTATATATGTATTTGTGGTTTATTTTACTTCCAAAATTTGTCGTCCATTTTTGCAGTATTTTCACATATTTGAGTGAAAATTTATTGGAATTTTACCGGTCAATTTTTTTTGTGGATCTCTTCAGTATTTTCACATTTTTGAGTGGAAATTAATTGGAATTTTACTTGTCAAGTTGTGTTTAGTTCTCTTTAGTACTTGCTTTTTCTACAAAATTCGGTAGCTCTGCTTTTGCAATTCTCTTGCTATTGTGAAAAAGTCGTGTAGTTCTTAATAGATCTTGATCTCTTTTGCTGTTCAAGTTTTTTTTTTAATAGTTTCTCTTGCGGTAAAATCTCTTAAAATATGTCGATTTTTGAGAAGTTTATAATTGCTGCAGATGAAATAATTAGCATTGAGGCCACGCTTAAAAATGAAGATTTTACTAATTATACAGAGGAGGCCTTTGAATTCGAAAAAAAGAATTAAATAAGGCATGGGAAAATTATAAATCTCTTTATGATGAGTGTTCTGCTGACACGATAGAGAAAAAAAAAGAATTATTAATGGTTCAAACGAAGCACCCACAAGTCCGTAAGACTTATGTGCGATGCATTAACATAATTTCTAAAGCAAGGAAACACTTAGAAAAGAAGAGAACATAGAGTCAGAAGTTCCCAATCTTTGTGGTTCAATAGCTGTACCTCCATGTGATACAGGAATTTTCCATGGGGATTATGTGTCGTGGCCCACACTTAGGGACATGTTCACTGCAATTTATATAAATAACAGTAGACTTAGCCCAGTTGAGAAGCTATTTTATTTGTTTAGGAAGACAGATGGTGAAGCCCGGGACATTAATAGAAATGTAGCTCTAACAGCCGAAAATTTTGATATAGCATGGAATAACTTAAAGATTCAATATGAAAATAAACGCATTTTGATTAATAGTCAATTAAAGTTGCTCTTCAAATTGGCCCCTTGCCAGCAAGTATCAGCCAGTGAAATTAAGAGACTACAAAGAGAAATTAATAATTGTATGGCTATACTCAAGTTATATAATATAGATATAAATTCATGGGACCCTATTTTTGTATTCCAATGTTCATCAAGGCTTTCTGAATGCTCACTTAATCTATGGGAACAATCAGTGAGAAATAAAACAGAGATTCCCAAATGGGAAGAGTTAAACAATTTTCTGACGGATAGATTCCATGCCCTAGAGAGCGTTTCTGATATAATAGCAACAAACAATGCACATACCAGTGGTTCCCAATCAAATTCTAATCAATCATCAGTAAAGACTAAACAATTTAAGTCCCACCATACAATGGTTGATTCTTTTCAATGTAAATTGTGCAAAGAAAATCACAGAATTAGTTCTTGTAGCAAGTTTTTAAATATGGACTATAAAACTAGAGTATCAACATTAAAAAAATTTCGTTTTTGTTTCAATTGCCTTACTATTGGCCATACGTATGGTGATTGTAATAATCCTAATGGTTGCTCTAAATGCAAACGGAAACATCATACTCTAATGCATAGAGAATTTGTTAAGAAAACCAACCAAAGTCAATCTAATACTTCTCAAAATGAAAGCCATGGTAGTCCAAATAACGTGTCCCTCCCACAATCATCTAACGTTGCAGGTCCGTCTGGGGTAGTCCAATCACACCACACTTCTGTTTCCAAAATGGTTATGTTAGCTACAGCTTGGGTCAATATAATTAAGGGTGAATCTTTATATAAAGCTCGGGCTCTTATAGATCCATGCTCGGATGAGAGTTTTGTGTCAGAAAAGCTACAAAAATTGTTACAGTTCCCCACTAACCCAGTTTCAGCAGAGATTACTGGACTAGGTGGTGATATTATAAGTAGATCATCTAAAGTAGCTTCCTTTGTAATTGCCTCTCTTTATGATCAAAAATTGTCTCTTAATATACAGGCGTTAGTAGTGGCTCGTGTAACTGGGAATGTCCCGACGCATTCGTTTAAACCCTTAAACAATAACGAGTTACCAAAATTAAATTATGCAGATCCAAAATTTTATAAATGTGATTTTATAAATTGATCTCTTATTAGGAGGAGATTTATATCCCTTAATTCTTCGTGGAGGAGTTAAACATGGAATTTTTGAGTCATTAGTGGCTCAAGAAACCATTTTCGGTTGGATTATTACTGGTCCAACTCCCAATAATATTAAGAGTATCTCATATGACAAAAGTTACAATTAATGACCATTTGACAAAATTTTGGGAGTTAGAGGAAGTTTCTTGTAAGAAAATTTTATCAGAAGAAGATAAAAAATGTGAAGAAATATATCGCTCTACTACCTCTAGGGATTCTGAAGGAAGATATACTGTCAGTTTGCCCTTTAAAAACTGCTTTAAGTCACTTGGCCCTAATAGACATATTGCTCTTAGTCAATATTTAAGAAGCGAGAAAATGCTACTACGTAAACCTGATTTTAAGGCCCAGTATGATGAGGTCCTCAAAGAATATTTATCACTAGGACATATGGAACAGCTTGAGAGCACGACATTTGGTTCGGGATATTATTTACCTCATCATGGTGTTTTTAAGCCAGAGAGTACAACTACCAAATTAAGAGTTGTATTTAATGCTTCCTGCAAATCATCTAATGGAAAAAGTTTGAATGATTTGTTGTACACTGGCCCTATTTTACAAAAAGATTTAGTAGCTCTAATATTAAAATGGAGATTTTATGAGTTCGTTTTCAACGCTGACATTTCAAAGATGTATCGTCAAATTTATGTAAAACAAGAACATAGACAATTCCAGAAAATTTTGTTTCGTAGGTCTGGTAATAAGGAAATTGAAGATTTTCAATTAAAAACAGTTACATTCGGTGTAAATTGTGCCCCATATTTAGCCCTTAGAACTCTGCTTCAATTAGCAGATGATGAAGAGCGACATTTTCCTCTTGGATCACGAATTTTTCGTGAATTTATGTACGTAGATGATGCTCTCGTTGGAGCTCATTCTATGTCAGATGCTCTAGAGGCAAGAGACCAATTAATAGGTATAATGAATACTGCAGGATTTGAGTTAAGGAAATGGACCTCAAACAGCAAGCAAATTTTAAAAAATCTGCCCGAAAGTCATCTTTTAAATTCATCCTTTTTGTCGCTCGATGATAAAAGCACTACGAAAATGCTTGGCATTCGATGGAATGCTGCTAAGGATTATTTTTATTTTTCTACTGAGAAAATAGAACTAAAGACAAGTTATACAAAAAGAGAAGTACTTTCAGTTATAGCTCGTCTTTTCGATCCTGGAGGTTGGTTAGCTCCTGTAGTGATTTCTGCTAAAATATTGATGCAACAGATGTGGCTCGATAAAATCGAGTGGGATGACAATATTAAACCTCTAACATTAAAAAAATGGCAAGATTTTGTCTTAAGATATAATGACATAAATACAATTAAACTCTCTCGTTGGATACAGTTTAATCCAGATTGCCAAATTGAATTTCATGGGTTTTGTGACTCGTCAGAGTTAGCCTATGCGTCAAATATTTACGTAAGAATTAAAACTAATAATAAAGTTTATACAAATTTGCTCGTCTGTAAAACGAAAGTAGCTCCAATAAAAAAGCCATCTCTACCCCGTTTGGAGTTGTGCGGAGCAGTTCTTTTAGCAAATTTGATTGATAGCGTGATTCCAAATTTGAATATTATTTCCCATTCCTTATATTTGTGGTCCGATTCTACGATAGTTCTAGCTTGGTTACGAAAACCACCCTGTAGTTGGAAAACCTTTGTAGCAAACAGGGTAGCCACTGTTTTAGAAAAGGTTGGAAATAAAAATTGGTTTCACGTAGCATCTGGTGACAACCCTGCCGATCTATCAACCCGGGGACTGACACCTTCGGAGTTGAAAGACAATAATCTATGGTGGTACGGTCCTAAATGGCTTAGTTCTAGTAAATCCTATTGGCCCAAAGGGCCACTGGCATATGAAACATAGGAAGAAGCAAGAGAGGTTCAAGTTAATATTGCTAGATCGACGGAAAAAGAAGACTTTCTTAATCGTTTCTCCAATTTGTCCAGAGCTTACCATGTAATTGCTTACATCTTTAGATTTTACTATCGTACGAATAAAAGCCGATGCAAGTCTTTTAATTATGGTTCTCTACGAATTTCAGCTCAGGAACTCTATTTCGTACGTCAACGGTTATTTTTCCTATCCCAGCAGATTTACTTTTCGAACGAATTTAACGGTTTATCAATGAAGAAGAAAATTGACTCCCATAGTCCCTTATTGGCTCTCACTCCCTTTTTAGATAGAAACAACATTATTCACGCTAACGGTCGTCTCGGTTCTACCAAGTGTTTATCCTACAATGAACGTCATCCTATTATACTTGCGTATAGTAGCAGGTTAGCACGTTTATATGTAGAATTTGTGCATTTACTAGTCCATCATGGAGGACCACGCTTAGTTCTCAAGAATGTTGGATACTTAAGGTGAAAAACTTGATTAAAACTGTTATTCACAATTGTAAAACCTGTGTTATACATCGAAAAAAACTCCAAAATCAAATTATGGCAATGTTACCCGAAGAAAGAACAACTTTGTGTCGCCCCTTTACAAATACAGATGTTGATTGTGCTGGCCCATTTGAAATCAAAAGCTTCACAGGTCGTTATTGCCGTATCACTAAGGGCTACGTCTGTTTATTTGTTTGTTTCTCAACTAAAGCGATACATATTGAGGCTGTTAGCGATTTGTCTACTCCTGCGTTTCTCGCCGCATTGGCCCGATTTATTGCCCAACGTGGTTGTCCAAGTAGCATTTTCTCTGATAATGGTAGAAATTTTATTGGCGCTGCTAGAGAAATTAAAGCTAATTTTGAAAAGCATGTAAAGGAATTACGTGACACGGCGGTAGAGAAATATTGTCATAAGCACTTAGAGTGGCACTTTATTCCTGCAGCAGCACCTCATATGGGAGGACTGTGGGAGGCAGGAGTCAAAAGTCTTAAAATCCATTTTAAAAAGACGGCTGGACAAATGAAATACACCTTTGAAGAGTTTTCAACACTTTTGGCAAAGATAGAAGCGTGTCTCAATTCGCGTCCTCTTGGCCCATTGTCAGATAGCATCGATGATTTGTCCTCTCTCACGCCAGGTCATTTTTTAATAGGCTCTGCTATTCTTACCCCTGCTGAACCGGAAGAACTTAGCGCGCCAATGAGTATGATAAACCGTTGGCGCAAAATCAAGGCATTGCAGCAAGAACTCTGTCACCGTTGGAAAGAGGAGTACTTAAAAGAGCTACAGAAACGGAACAAATGGAAACATCCCCAAACAAACTTGAAAGAAAATGACTTGGTGGCCCTAAAAAGTGAACCTTGTTGTCCTACTGAATGGCGCTTAGGTCGTATAGTTAAAGTTTATCCTGGTTCTGACGGTAATGTTCGAGTGGCTGACCTCAAAACTCAAAATGGTGTAATCACTCGTCCGATTCACAAATAAGTTCTACTCCCTAATTGCTCTGATTAAATGTTCATTCTCACGTTCTCTAAAATAATGCTACCCAATTTAATTTTCCAGATCAACATGGATTTCAATACCGATTATGCTTGCCCTCTTTGCAATCGCCTACACGCTATTCGTCAATGCTCACGATTTATCGTAATGCCCGTGGAACTAAAACTAAGAGTCGTTGCTCAGCATTTATTGTGTTACAACTGTCTGGCTCAATCGCACAGTCGTTCTGAGTGCAAAAGTATAGAGCGGTGCCGTCGCTGCATGCAGGACCACAATACCCTACTGCATCCTTTACCAGATGATCGTATTTGGTTCCGTATGACAGCAACGGTTCGGGTTGTTACAAGATTTGATACTGACGCCTTCCTAAGGATATTAATTGACCCCACTGCTGCCAGATCATCAATCATGAAATCAGAAACTGATGCCCTTAATTTAGTGGTACACCAAGAACGGGCCACTGTAGTAGTATACCATAGTCACAGGGAAGGACGTAAAGTTACAGTAGAATGCGTGGTAGAGAAGAAAAGTTATGGATGTACGCCCAAAGTAAGCATAGACCGAGCAGACAAATACCCACGTCCACGGGCAGTCGACCTGGCCAATGCAGATGTTCATTGGCATATCCGGCGTCCATACCAGCTTATTTTAGGAGCTGACGCCATGAGCCGTGTTTTAATTGGTCCGGCTATAAGACGTCCGGGACAACTATTCCCACAAAACACCATCTTTGGCACTGCATATTTTGGAGAGGGTCTAAAAAGGACTTAAACATTCTTCTATAATTTTGATGTCCATGATAGGCATTGTATTATTTATCTATAATTTAGTTGCCCAAGAAAAATAAGCGATGTTTTCACTCTTAATACAATTTTGTCGTCCTACAAGGCGTTCTATTTAATACCGGAAGAGTTATTATTATTTCATTAGTGAAATCTTTAAGATCAGCATATTTAATTTTAAGAAGAATGATCTCATTTAGTTTATCATTATATTATTGAATTCAATGAATTTTATAGTTTATATGTATTTAAAAAAAAAAAAAAAAAAAAAAAAAAAAAAAAACATTTTTTTTCTTCTCTTTCTAAATTAATATATTACTTCTATGAATTAATTTATTTATGTTTAACAATATTTAAAAAAAAATAAAAATAGGTTTGAAGTCAAAAAAAAAATATTTAATGTTAAGAGAAATTGTTAACTTCTATTAACTACCAAACTTTTGCTTTTGTTGCATCACCGTTGCAAGGGTGGCGGTAATGTTTATGTGGATGTCTGTTTTTTTTATTTAAACATTGTTCATTTCTTTACCGTCTAAACCATCCTACATATGATGTCGCTATCTGGCAACATCACATATAGTGTGGTGAGTTTGCGTTTTGTTGACTGCCATATGGTTTGTACCATTTTTGTTAATTTTTTTTAACTACTACCATTTTGAATCAAGAAGCGGACAGACATATTAAAAATAAGAAAAATCTAATTGGAAAATAAAATAAACTAAAAGTGAACAAACTAAAATAATTAAACAGAAGTTTTATTAAATTAAAGGATCTTAAAAATATAAACTAAACACAAGGCAAATAAAGAAAAAAAAAGAAGACATAAAGATAAGGGTTGTTTTCCTTTAATGAAAGAAAGTGTGTGTGTGTTACAAGAACCACGATCTGCCTATCTAAACCAAGCCACTTGCGGATTCCAACAGCTCCTTACCGGGATAGTACCAGGCAGAGACAGGAACAGGTAACCCGTGGAATAAACACAAATGTTTTGTCTAAATATGAATCACTCTACGAAACTTTTTCCGGATGGGTCCATAATTGGTCATAGCTCCCATATAAGGTCCACTTCCGAAAATCACTTTAACGCATATATTTCATTGAATTCTAAAGCTATAGGGATAAAATTCGACTTGAATATGTTTTGTGTACATATAAATCATTCTACCACTTTTTTCCCGGATCGGTCCATTATTGGTCATAGCTTCCATATAAGGCCCACTTCCGAAAATCACGTAAACGTACATATTTCATTGTCAAATAAAGTTATCTTGATAAAATTCGACACAAATATGTTTTGTCTTTATATGAATCACTCTACGAAATTTTTTCCGGATAGGCTCCCGTATAAGGTCCACTTACGAAAATCACTTAGACTCATATTTTTCTTTGAATAATAAAGCTATCGGGATAAAGTACGACTTGAATATGTTTTGTGAGCATATAAATGTTTCTACCAAATTCTTTCCGGATCGGTCCATATTTTTAAATAGCTCCTCAAAAAATCACTTAAAGGCACATATTTCATTATCAAATAAAGACATTTTGATAAAATTCGACACAAATATGCTTCGTGTACATATATATTACCGGATAGGCTTGTAATTGGTTATACCTCCTATATAAAGTTCACTTCCGAAAATCACCTAAACGCACATATTTCATTAATCTATTGGAGTAAAATTCGACTTGATTTTTTTTATATAAATCCTTATCGTCCTTAATTGGTCACAACTCCCATATAAGGACCATTTCCGAAAATTACTTAAATGCACATTGATAATCAAAGTTATCGGGATAAAATTCGACATAAATGTGTACTTTGTATATATAAATCATTTTACGTAAATTTTTCCAGATTGGTCCATAAGTTGTCTTAACTCCCATAAAAGATTAACTTCTGATATCGGGATAATATTCGACATAAATGTGTACTTTGTATATATAAATCATTTTACGTAAATTTTTCCAGATCGGTCCATAAGTTGTCTTAACTCCCATAAAAGATTAACTTCTGAAAATCACTTAACATCACTTAATTCGTTATTAAATGATTACATCCGGATAAAATTCGAAATGATTATGTTCTGTGTATAGATAAATCATTCTTTTAAAATGGACCTAATCAAAATTAGTTCGACATATGCATAAATGTTAGTATCCTCAATACGGAAACAAATATTTTGTCAAGTTATCTAAAAATTATATAATTAAATGGGTTTTAATAAAAAGTAACTTGCTGGTGGAAGGTATTTAAGATTCGGCATAGCCGAATATAGCACTCTAACTTGTTTTTTTTTTTAATTTTTTAACTTTGGTGTTAAATTGTTCCCAAGTGCCTTAAGGGGTTAATCTACCTTTCTTTCACTCTATTTTAAATATCGGACTATATACGATAACTTACAGTCATCTTTGGTAAAGATGGCCGACAAATAAATATTATTTCGATATGGTACACTAAGAATTCGTAAATATTGCAAAATTTGACTTTTGAACTCCACAGTTTATGGGTTAGGAATGTCCGATTTTAATAAAACTTCGGATATATATTTTGTATTATCTAGACTATAATACTCTGATAATACTTTATTTAAATGTAAAGAATTAATATGTATTCTCCAAAACATTACAAAAAATGCGATTTTCCCGAAATCCGCCGAGTTCAAATCGCAAGTACAGCTAAACTGTTACAAATATTGATCTAATTTTTTTTTCCGTTTAATAGTCTATTGGCCATAAATCCGCATGAGATCTCCTAAAATTTGTTTAACAAAGATTCAAAAAAACTGAAATTGGAGATTTGAAACGGCCGTTGAAAAATCTTTATTGACCATAGCTGAGAAGAAGTTTGTGTTATCTTATAAAGCCAAAAACTAATATTCGACTAATTATAAATATATTTCAGTAACAAAATATTTTTATACCCTCCACCAGTGGTGATAGAGGGTATATATAAGTTTGTCATTCCGTGTGTAACACCAAAAAATATTCATCTGAAACCCAACAAAGTATATATATTCTGGGTCCTTATGAAATTCTGATTCGATTTAGCTATGTCCGTCTGTATGTCTGGTTAAAAGACGCTCACGTTAAAACTAAGCAAATTAAATCAACGAAATTCACTGAGGATATTCATTGTTTTCCTAAGCAGTTTGGTATTGAAAATCAGCAAAATCGGTTCTCAACGTAAAAAGTTATGAGTAAAAATTAAAAAAAACATGAATCAAAACTACGGACTTAGATCTGTATCGGTCCTCAATTGGTTATAGTTAAATGAACATATTTTATTTATAAATAAAGCTATCGGGATAAAATTCTACATGAATATGTTTTGTTTATACATAAATCATTCTACGGAATTTTTTTCCGGATCGGTCCATAATTGGTCATAGCCCCCATATAAGGTTCACATCCGAAAATCACTGAAACGAGCATAATTCATAGATAAATTAAGCTATCTGAATAAAATTCGACATGAATGTGTTTTGTGTATGAATTGTATTGGCATATAATTTTAATTTGTAAAATTTTGTTAAGATATCAACATTCGGAAGGAAGTTATTAACAATAAACTCATTTTCCGGGAATATGTACTTTCGTATTTCAACAGGAATAAAGTTCTCGTGTAAAAACAAATGCGTGATAATTTTCATGTAATTACATTGCATAGTTTTCGTGAAAATTGCATCAGAATGTGTAAAAAATGGTTATTTTTTTCTGAGTTGTTTTAAATTTTGATTCATAACTTTTCCCGATGTAAACCGATTTTGCTCATTTTCAATACCAAACTGCCTAGGACAATAGGGAATATTCTGGACAAATTTTAATCATTTATTTCACTTCGTTTTTACGTGAGCGTGTTTTACACAGACAGAGGGACGGACAGACGGACATAGATAAATCGACTCAGAATTTCATAGGGACCAAGACTATATATATACTTTGTTGGGTCTCAGATGAATATTTCTTGGTGTTATACACGGAATGACAAAGTTATATATTCCCTCTATCACCACTGATGGTGGCGGAGTGTATAAAAAGTGGTCGTAGAAGGGGGCTTGGTTCTTGGCATGAGAAAACTTACATATTTCTTCAAATATTTGATCAATTAAAAAAAATATTAATATAAAAGTAGCTGGTGGAGGGTATTTAAGATTCGGCTCAGCCGAATATAGCACTCTAACTTGTTTTTTGTATGACATAGTT